GCTTGATCTGTGACTGTTCTCCATAAAAACCCCATAACAAGTAAGCATTAAGTCAACAGACGTTGGAAAGAACTCCAGTTACTTTACCACCCCACACTTCCCCTATGAACAACTTGTAGCTCTGTGTGCTCATTTGACACAGGAAGTGGTCACCATGTTTACCTGGCTCTGCTGTACATAAGTTCTTGGGTTAATAACAATTGATGCCATAACCATAATTTTATATGAATATAATGATTTACTCGCAAGTGAGTTCACAAAAGCCTGTCTACATCCCCATGTGGTGGATGATGTATATAATGTAATACACCCATTTTATAGTCTGGGGAAATAGCCAGGGAAGAGTGATACCAGAGTGAGTGCCGGACGGTGGTATCCTGGTAAAAATCTTACAACCAATTCTCCAAGAGTAGAAGTCCTACTTGTAGTGGATGCTGACTTTGGTGTTATAAATATAGTTCTCCTTCTTTTCTAAGGTTTTGCTTTCCATGGTTTCAGTTATCTGAGTCAATTATAGTACCAAAATATTAAATGGACAATACCAGAAATAAACAATTCATACATGTTAAGTTGCATGCCATTCTGTACATTGTGATGAAATCTTGTGCTGTCCTGCCCAGGACATGAATTAGTCCCTTATCCAGAGTATCTACTCTGTATATGCTACCCACTCATTAGTCTTAGGAGCCTTAGGATAGCCCATTAGTCATCCCTTTTAGAAGATCCCTGAGTCCATCTTCTGTTGCTATGACAGAATACCTGAGACGAAATAATTTATAAAGGGAAGTTTATTTCAGCTCACAGTTCTGGAGGTTGGCAGTCCAAGATGAGGCAGCTATATTTGGCATGGGCCTCCTGTGACATTATAACACAGCGTAAAAGTGGAAAGGCAAGTGGTAATGCATGGAAGAGGGAAAGCATGAGGGCAAACTCACTTTAAAACAACCTTATTTTACTAGAAGGAATCCACTCCTACAAGAAAGGCATGACTCCTTCTTAATGTTTTAATCACCTGTTAAAGGCCCACCTCCCAACACAGCCACAGTGGCAATCAAATTTCAACATGAGTTTCAGAGGGAACAAACATTCACATCCCAGCATCTTTCACACTGGCTGCTTCACTGTGAAGTGGGATCTGGCTCTGTGATTAAAGAAACAGCATTTTGCAGAGGAAGGAACCCTGACTTTAGATTCAGTGCCCTGTAATCTCATCCTGCCGCACAAGTCACTGCCACAGGACCTCTGGCAAATGACTTTACCTTCACACTCTTGCCTGAAAAGCAGAGGTGTTGACTTCATAGGTTAATTAGGAAGAGTAGCCAAGGGGGTATCACATCACAAACTCCAGCCCATGGTAACTTGTCCACAGTGGTTATCATCTGGTTTGTGGCATTTCGGGGGATTTCACTTTTCTTCTTCACTTTTGCCCATCTGCATTTCGTGTTGCACTGGTAAATATTTAACCACCAGCTCTCCAAAGAAAAGACCTGGTTGTAGTGTTTGCCCATTTCCATGGTGCAAATACTTCCACCATGGCTGACTTCAAGCCACCACCATTGACAACCCTGAATGTGGAGTTGGGAAGGGGAATACGCAAGTGGCCCTCCAGGCTGGTGGAAGCCCACGTCAGCACGCAGCTGTGCACTCAACATTTTACTTAGGGGACAAATTAAGGAAGAGAGAGAAAATATTGAGTGCCAGCATTGTGTCTGGTCTATTCATGTTCATCTCCCCTTCATCTCCAGCCCTTATTAATCGAATCAAACAGCATGCTGACCTTGAACGGCCAGCCATGTGAAGTGGAGGGCTTCTGGGAGCCAAGAGCCCTTACCTTGCTCCCCATCTGCCGGGCTCCCAGACCTTGGGCKGCCTGTAGAGGAGATTCTAAGATCAGTTCCCCCAGCAAGAATCAAGCAGACAAGTGCAAGGTTGAAACTGCCTTAGAGGTAAACCACGAAAAGTCCCAGCAAATAAAGGGCTTGAGGGGAACACACGCCCAGGTGGATACATCTCTGACTAGCCTAACCTTGACCTAGAACTCAGTGACAYAGCAACTGTGTGTGCATGTGAGGAGATGGGGGGGCGGGTAGGCTCTGCAGATCACTGGGCGAATACAGAAGAATGGGACAGGCCCCCAGTGGATCSTCAGGCATGAACAACAAAAGTGCAGAGACACAATCCATACCTCACGGATTCAGCCTCCTGGCAGCTGGTTCAGACTCTGGCCCAAGAGTAGGTGCTCAAGCTAGGGGTAGAGCTCAGTGGTAGAGCACTTGCCGAGCATGCACAAGGCCCTGGGTTTGATCCCCACCACTGAAAAAAAAAAAAGATGCTTAAAAAATTTGTGATAATGCAGGCTGGGGTTGTAGCTCAGTGGTAGAACGCTTGCCTAGCACACATGAGGCATTGGGTTTGATCTCAGTACCACATAAAAATAAATAAATAAAATAAAGGTATTGTGTCCATCTGCAACTAAAAAAAAAAAATTGAAGAAAAAAAAGAAACTTGTGATAATGCTTGGTTCGGGTGGATTCTTTAAATTTTTAATTAATGAATTTTATTCCTTCATAGCTTACCTCTTGCAGAAGGGATACAAGACAGCTCAATAAATTCCTATTGAACAAATAAGTAAGTTTTAGCCCTAGCCAGTTCCTGGTTTTGCATGTTCCTGAGTAGAAAATGTGACTTTAAATCTAAATGAGATGCAAAGCGTTAATACAGGTTGCCAGTCATTTTTAAAAAAGTCTTCTGGCTTTTCTGTATTTTTCAAATGTATCCTCAAAAGAGCATGGATTGTTTCTGTTATTTAAAAAATGAATATATTTTATAAAAAATAACCTGCAAAGAAAAGTGAAGCAAGAGTGTTATCAGCAATTAAAGCTCCAGGGGGGACCTGTTCCTGCTGTGAGGCTCTAAACCGAGGGTCCTGTCTCCCTGGGGCTCCCATAGCTCTGTCCTGCATCTGGTGGGACCAGTGCTCACATCCTCACCATTGTCGCAGCTCCAGGCTCTCTCAGCTTCTCTTCCCAGGGGTCTCCCACCTCCCAGGTGATAATAATGTTCCCCTGCATAACGCCCAGGCAGATGATGTAAACACAGGCACGAATAGAGACAGATGAGCCCCCAAGAGGAGTGAATAGCAGACCACACCCACCCAGAGGGACCCGTAACTTAGAAATTTGTTGGAGCCTGTTATCCCCCCTCCTCCCCCTCCATCTGCTCSCCACACCAGAGGAGATAGAGGAGGTCACTGGTAGGGAAATCCCCAGCCAGGCCCGCCAGGCCCACCCTCCCATTTGCTGGCCTCCTCCCAGAGAACTGGTCTCTGCTCCTTGCTGTGTGATAAGTGTACCCATTCCATTTCCCCCAAAGCATCAGGGCTGCCCTGATRAGGGAATGCAGAGCCGTGGATCCTCCATTAAAGCATTTGTGGGGTTGTCAGTGAGCCTTCCCACTTCTTGAGACCTCGACTCTTTCTTCTGGCCTAAGATCACAGTCTGGGAACCTGTGTTCGGGTTTTCACTAAAGACACAAGTGGAGACTTCCGCTCTCAACCTGAGGAAGTTCAGGGGGTTTGTGACCGAGACACCTTTGTGCATACAATGTCATGAATTCTTCCATTACCTCCGTGAGGTTGTGGCTACCCTGTTCTTAGAGCCTAAGTGGCTTGCTTGAAAGCARACAGAGGTATGCTCCAGGGCCCTGTGGCCACACAGCAGTGCCTAAGGAGACGTGACTATGGTTCCTCAGACAAAACTGACCTTTTTGTGTGTGTGACAGCTTTTTTGAGATATAATTTGTACATCACACAGTTTGCACATTTGAAATATACAGTTCAGTTTTTTAGTGTATTCATGGAGTTGTGCAAACACTACTGTCAATCTTAGAACATTTCATCACCCCACCAAATAGATCCCTCACCCCAAGTCCCTCCAGGCCTCCCTATCCAATGCAGCATAACTGCTTTTTATCTGTGCAGATTTGCCTATTCTGAACATTTCATATAAATGGAGGCATACAGTATATGGCTTTGAGGGTGGCTCCTTTCTCTTCGCATAACGTTTTCAGGGTTCATCCACRTTGTAGCACTTGTCAGTACTTCATTGCTTTTTATGGATGTGTAGTAGTATTCTCTTATATATATGATGCGTTTTGTTCATCCATTATCAGTTGGTAGCCAACAATCAGTTGGATTGTTTCCACTTATTGGATATCCTGAATAATAGCCAATGAACATTCATGTGGAYGTACGCATTCATGTCTCATTGGTATGTCCCACATATCATGCCTTAAAATCCGTCAGTGATTTCCCATTGTTCCTAAAATCAGGTTCAAATTCCTTACCTTGGTCTATGATGTTTCTCCCTCTGCTATCAGAGGCTCCAGGAGAGCAGTTCTCCCTGGCACCTAGCACGATGCCTGGCACCCAGAGACACTCATTAAATATTTACTGAATGAATAATGGATAATGATGGCAACAAATGAGTCACTTGTTCGCAGGATTCCTTTAGCCTTGGTGTCTCCCACGGGTGATGGGGAAAATCAGGTGATTGCTGAGGACACRTTGACTCCTCTTGCTAGCCGCAGCTGAGTTCTCCCCTCTCGCTCACCTAAGGGACCACTGCTGAAATAGGAAAAGGCTTGGGGGAGTCCCCACAGTCCTGAAATAAAGAGCCTCATTGGGTCCCACTACCACCTGGGTTCTGTCTTCCACCGGGATCATCCCCCAGCATGTAACCGGGCAGCCCCTGACACTGCTGACCAGACCAATTGTCATCTCAGCCTGTTTCCAGGGGTGCAAAGAGGCGTTCTTTGAGGCAGATGCTTCTCTGAGAGTTGGGGAGCTRCACTGTGACAGACTGCATTTCCTTTAGTAAAGATGATTGCCTTTCTGCCTGTGTTGTTTGAAAAACTGTCCTTGAAGAAATTCCAAGAGGAAACTGTATGCCTTCTGAGACTTAATTGATTTTTCAAAAAACATTGTTTTCATTTCCCCACAGATATGCACTTATTTGGCCATTATCCAGCACATGACGACTTCTATCTCGTAGTGTGCAGTGCCTGTAATCAGGTCGTCAAGCCACAGGTTTTCCAGTCGCACTGCGGTAAGTGGACTCCTGCACCCAGCAGGGGCACAGGCAGCCGCCACTCCGGGCACAGTCGCCTTCCACAGGCCCCCCAGTGTCTGTCTTTGCCCAAGGCTGTGGGTAGACTCTTCCTGGGGCTGCTGCCTCTGCTCACAGGGTAACTGTTTTAGGATCTGTAGTCCTCCTGCTGAAATGCTCGGTCCTAGGGGGGAAAAAATGAGAGAAAACCTGCAACTCGTTATGGTAGATGAGGCTAGACTGAAACCATCCGCCCAACGTGCTGACCTCTGCAGGTAACCAAGGGGAGGGGAGAGCAGTGGCTTGAGGACATGTTCCTGCAGCCTGACATTTTCTCCTCTTGAAACAGGGGACTGGAGAGCGGTTTCCCAGACTCACATAAGGGGGCTGGAGCCAAAGGTAGCCCAGTTCATGGGCCATTGGATGCTGACCCCAGGAAATGGCATATAAAACCTCAGGTTCCACTTATCGGTTTCCAAGAATCTCCTCTTTTCTTTAAAAAAAGAAAAAAATCCAGCTGTGTCTGGGAACTCGCTTTCCCTCTATATCTTAATGTCCTCAGTGTGATAAGTTCCTTCAGTCGATCAGCAGCACACCCCCACTCCCACTCCACTCAGCGCAGGTGCCGTGGACAACGACAGAGCGCACATGGCCACTCCCTCAGGCATGAATGAACGGCCAGCTTGTCTTAGACAAGAAACCTTTGACTCTCACTGGGTGGAAGTTTCCTGTCTTGAAGAGGGAGCTGGCCAGATGATAGCCAAAGCCATCATAGACAGTAAGTCCAGAGCAGTATTTCCCAAATGTTTTATGAATTCCTGAGCCCCTTTTGATGAATGTAAATTCTGCTTTATTGTTAAAGTTTTGAAGCACATCCAATATTGTACCTTAAAAAAAAGCAATTATAATATTGAATGAGCTTTTGCAAATGACACATTTCCCCTTTCTCACACTGGGGATTTCTGATTTTCCCCCTGTCCCTTTATTTATCACCATGCTGTAATAAATAGGCAAGGATAAAAGAATTGAATGTGTTTGGGACTATAGAATAGTGTATGTATATACTAATATCGTCTATGAACACGTGTATATGATCCATATATATCTACRTGTATACAAGGCCTCTGTGTATATATTGTAGGTGTATTTTGTGCTTGTAACATGCAGAAAGAGAACCCAGCTCAAGGGGCAAGACTGACAGGACAAAGCAGAGACAGGGCCCTAGAAAGTGCTGCGTAAAGAGCTCCGGTGAGAGGCAGAGTCCAACTCTGTCCTTGGGTTACTTGGTTAACGTCTCCGGACTTTGGTTTCCTTGTCTCTTCCATGAGGAGGTAACTCCTGTGGACGTACCCATCTCCAACATTTTCATTCCTGGCAGTGTGAGTGTGAAAAGAGCAGGCATGTTCTGGGCATGAGTTGACCTTCTTGCTCAGTGTTCTGTGGCAAATGGCCCTGTCTTCCTCCTGGAAGAGAGACAGGGTCAAACATTTCCGAAGGGGAACCGTCAGAGGCCCCGTGGTGGTGCCTCCAGCTGAAGTGACAGGTGGGGTAGCAAAAGCAGAGCAGTGATCAGAAGTTGCCACCAGTGCTCCGTGAATGACCTGTGAGCTCCATGCTCCATTGCCTCTTTGCACCTCATAATGATGCAGCCGGGAGCTCATCCTGAACGTGGTCACCGTGCACTCATCCATTCACAGGACTGTGCCGCCACTCTAGGCACTGGGGTACAGCAGTGAACACAATAAGTGAAAATCCTGGCCCTGGGGAGCTTGCGCTGTACTGTAAGCCTTCAAAACCTTCACTGGGAACTTAGTTTGCCAACCGTCTTTGATAGAAGTACCCTAAAAGGGACCTGGGATCCCCCTGCCCTGCAGAATCTGCCTAAGGGTAAAACCCCATCTGGCTAGCAGAGGAGCTCTAGGACTTTGGTGTGGCTGATACACATGCCTCCCTCTACCTTGGGGCTTTTGGTGCAAGAACCAAGACTCAGCTTATGGGAAAGCAAATGGTATTGTGGCGCCCTGCTCTGAGCAGTGACAGAAAATTAGTCTGGGGCTTTGGGGTTACTGACTTCATCACTCGAAGCCCGGTCTCCATTGAGTTTCTTGCTGAGCCAACTGACAAGCAGCAGTGGGGACATAACCAGAGCTCAGCAAATTGAGGCACTGAAGCCTCTCTCCTCTTCCAGGTGTGTGTACCAATAATCCAAGACCCATATTTATCAGGACTGGGAGAGAATGCACGGCAGAGCTCAGAACCATGGCAACTCTTCCGGGGGAGTATTTTTTAGTTCGTCTAAGAATTTCTCCTATAATTTCATGATTAGTTGAGGCTGCTCTAACAGAATGCCAGAGGTGGATGCTTCTAAACAACAGAAATCCGTTGCTTGCAGTTGTGGAGGCTGGACGTCTGAGGTCAGGGTGCCAGCATGTCAGGATTCTGATGAGGGCCATTGTCTGAGTTGCAGATGGCCACCTGCTTACAGTATCCTCGCGTAGCAGAAAGGGGACCAGAGAGCTCCCTGGGGCCCCTGTCTTACAGGCAGTAACCCCATTCATTATGTAATTGCCTCCCAAGTCCACCCCCCTCACACTGGGGGTTAGGGTTTCAGCGGATGGATTTGGGAGGACACAGACATTCAGTCCCTACCAGTCTGTCTTTTTCCGCTGTTTCACCTTGTGTGATGACCCTTGCTCTCTTCAGCAAGTTAATAAGAATTCCACTGTGTCCAGGGCCGGGCACTGTGCCAAGTGCTTTCCATATCTTTGAGCCTGTAACAGCCCTGTGAAGGAGGTATGAATTGGTATCCATTGAAGCTGAGGAAGCTATGGCTTAGGAGATTTCAGTGTCTTGCCCTCGGSGCCTCAAAGCCGGGCAGGTGCTGAGCCTGATTTCACACGCAGCTTCATTAACAGTGAGGGAAGTGCCTGCTGCGTCGTCATCTCACCGCCTCTCTCTGTACACAAATATTGAAAGCAGAGCTCTTGAAGGGAAACTGGGGCGGGGCTCAAGCCCCACCCACCTGGCCTTCCTCCGACTCCCCTGCAGTCCCACCACCAGGGCTCCATAGAGCATCCATCACTTGACGTTTGTTGACGTAATGGAGATGGCAGGCTTTGGAGTCAGACAAAGGCTCACAGGACTTCCCCACTGTGTGACCTTAGAAGGGTCAGCTCATCTTCTCCATCTCGGTTTGCTCATCTGTAGAATGGGTTAGTCAGCCTGCCTGGCAGGGTTGTCCGGACATGACTGGTGGGAGGCCTGGAGTTCACTTCCTCCCCTCTCTTCATGGCATCTGCTCACACTGCCCCCAGCGGCGATGGGACTCCTGTGCCGCTTGCCACCTTCTGCCACACAGATGTCTGTGGACTGTCTCTGCTTTCAGCACCAGGAGATTCCTTTTCAATTCTGTACTCCCAGCACCCAGAAAATGAGTTCATCACAGGGGCATGGCAGCATTCAAGACCTTGGTATACTGGCCTTTCAAGCTAAATGGAGGGGTGTGTTGTGTGTGTGTGTGTGTGTGTGTGTGTGTGTGTAGGCAGTCAGTTGTGGAGTTAAAGAAAATTGTTTCTTACTCAACACTTATTTTTTTAAAATTTATTTTTCAGTTGTAGTTGGACACAATACCTTTATTCATTTATTTTTATATGGTGCTGAGGATCGAACCCAGGGTCTTGCACATGCGAGTCAAGCGCTCTACCGCTGAGCCACAACCCCAGCCCTTACTCAATACTTCTGACACCAAATATGTGGCCTTTGCATGCCAAGCCATTTTCTGTGGACACCAACTGGGTATCCTATAATTTAATTTGATTCTGACAATAACTACTCAGAGTTAGTGCAGATGCCACAGGTTAAAGGCTCAGCCCTACAAAACAGCCTCCTGCTGCAGATGCCAGTCACAATCAGCGAGTCTCAGATTACCCACACTGATGTCTAAGTTGACCATAGCTGGGGATTCCCACAAACCCTTGTCAGGTTTGATAATTTTCTGCAATGACTCACAGAACTCAGGGAAACATTTTCCTTTCATTTACTGGTTTATTATAAAGGATGCAAATGAACAGCCAGAGACACATAAGGCAAGGTCTAAAAGGGTCCCCATAGAATTGTGGTGCTACCCGAATAACATGTGAATGCCTTCACCGACCTGGAAATCTCTCTGAACTCTTGTTGTTGAGGGGCTTTTTGGAAGTTCCATTACACAGCCATAATTGATTAAAACACTGGCCATTGGTGATAAACTCAATCTTCAGCCTCACCTTAAAACTCTCTGTTGGGGTACTGGGGTTGTGGCTCTGTGGTAGAGCGCTTGCCTAGCACGTGTGAGGCACTGGGTTGGATCCACAGCTCCATATAAAAATAAATAAATAAAATAAAGGTCTTGTGTCCATCTACAACTAAAAATGAWAMWAAAAAAAAAAAAAAAAAAAACCCTTGGGCTGGAGTTGTGGCTCAGTGGTGGAGCGCTTGCCTTAAATGTGTGAGACACTGGGTTTGATTCTCAGCACCACATGTAAATAAAAAATAAAGGTCCATCAACTACTAAAATAAATAAAAAATTTTTAAAAACCCTCTTTGGGGACCTAGCTATCAGTCTTCTCACTATCCTACAGAAACTCCACAGATTGCAAAGGTCCTCAAAGCTCAGTGTCCAGAAACTGGGAACCAAAATCAGATACAAAAACAAATGTGCCCCTTATGCCAGCACTCAAGAAATTACAAGGGTTTAGCTGCTCTGTGTCAGCAACTGGGGACAAAGACCAAATATATATTTCTTCTTATATCACAAGTCACAGTAGCAATGTGAAAAACAGGATAGCATCATGGAGAAATCATGAATTTTGGAGTCAAACGGATCCAGGTTAGGATCCTGACTGACATTGTCTAGTGGCGTCACCTTGGGCTGATGAGGTGACCTTTCTGAGACTCCTCTTCCTCATCTATAAAATGAGAAGGCCCGTGCCTGCCTTGTGGAGTTACTCTGAGAAGCAGCT